CCCCTACCCAGTATATAGCTATTTGGTCCATTTTAAAATCTAAACCATAATGTAAAGATTGTTGCACTTTTTATTTCTTTTTAACAAAATTGTATTTTTTTCCAAAAATGCTAATGATCTTTTCCACCATTTTTGGGTTTTTTAATAATATCTGTTCATTCACATATACTGTGTGTGTTAAGGCAAATGTGTTGCTTACAGTAGCATTCGGGTTTACTGTAGCAGAAATATCTTTGGAAACCTCAACGGGGCCCTGTAGGTTGGTGGCAGAGGTTCCCCGAGATAGTTGGCTTGATGGGTCACTGTGATTTGGGAATGTTAAGTGACAGTGCTCAGGGGGAATTAGCTCATAGTCATGAGAATAGGCATGGGTTAACTCCAGAGCTGCCAGCTTGTTATGTGGAAACGGGATAATGCAACCCGCTATGGAAACAAATGTGATGTTTCATGATGTATATGAAAAAGTGGTCATCCCATCTGTTTTGGTTATGGAAGAGTTAAGCAATGCGACTGATTTTCAGCTGCCAGATACCTCTGTGTCTTCCTCAGCCTTGGAGGGGAACGCAGACAACATATACTAGGATGGTTTTGCAAAACTGTTATTAGTGATAATAAAAGGGTTTCTGTTGGTAGTAATGGGGTGAACACTATTTCTCTGTTGGTAGTAATGGGGTGAACACTATTTCTCTGTTGGTAGTAATGGGGTGAACACTATTTCAGCTGTTCTGGACAGAGGGGCTGCTAATAGGCTTATAGAAGAGGGCGCGCATGCTGTAGCAGCTGATCTTCCTCACCAGACGGAAGGGCCCAGTAAAAACGAGAACAGCAGAAATCTTGTATGAGACCCCAGAAATAAGCAAAACTGATGCCTTTCAAATCAAAGTCAAACAGTAGGGAGGAGTTAATGTAACCAACCCTAAGAGCTGATGGTGCTGAGACATGTGGTCCTCCTTAAATGACATTAAAGAGGTTGATGATGTTCTTGCATACAATGAAGGTCAGCAGTCAGAGCAGTTGCCAGTGGAGGGGATGATCTGTGAGGTTGCCGCTGGAGATGACGGCTCCATGGTCATGAGTCCTCTGCTGACAATGCTCTGTCCGACCAAGGCCTTATTTGTAAGAAGGTTGAAAACTGTGACATTGATGGTTTTGTCAATGGTGGGAAATATGATGAGTTGCAGAACTGTGGTGATCTGGTTACCATATCTGACAACAAAAATGGTGCAGATTATGGGTATTGATGAGTTGCACAGCTTTCCTTGGGCCCAATTTCACATGAGTGTCATCAGTTCAGTCAAGGTTCATGGATACAAAAAAACTGAATCGGTTTACATAAGTTTTCACATCCGTTGTCAGTTCAGTTTACATCAGTTTTGGACTTTTTGTTATTATGGTAAATTCCCATGGTTCTTTGCTTTCCCCCAGCATGCATTGAGCTTGCCGTGCTGTATTATGACATCAGTCAAAAAAAAAAAGGGGCATAACCTGAACTGATGTAAACTGATCGTCCGTTTACATCGGCCCCTTTCAGACGAGCAGTCCGTTCAGGTGCGCCTGTCAGTTTTTCAGCCGGATGCGCTATGCAAGTCTATGGGGAGCTTGGATTAAACGGACAAGCATCCGTTTACCCCTGGCTAGCCCCAGCTCCGACTCGCTCCGGTAAAACAGACGGATCATTGATTTGTTTCAACGGACTGGATCATGCCGGAGCGGAGGTAATCTGATGTAAACAGGCACATGTCCGTGTACATCAGATTCCCCATATTCCAGCACTTACACTTTTTTCCTCCATCGCAAGATGTTCATACTCTGTTTACTTTATGAAACCACTAATGTTTAAAGGGAAAATGCTGTTCTTGTGTGTGTTCACTGTGCATCCTATAACATATGAAAAAAAGAGAGCCACGTCACAAATGGTCTAATTTCTACTTCCTGGCTTTTAGTCTGTGGTAGTACAGAAAAATAAATGTTATGTTAGAGCAATTACTGCATGTGTAATATAATCAGTTCATTGTATTAGAACTTTCTCTACCTGCAGCTCATATGTTTCGTAATCACACGGGAGTAAAAATTACCTACTTGTGACAAAAGAGGGAAATTACAGAGCCTCGGAGCCCAGGAAACAGTGGGTGCTGATTCTGCTGTGTTATTACTGATATATAGGTCTGTATATGCTATATGTCCATCTACTGTAGAGTCTCTCAGCTTGACCATATTATAACAGCTGGTTTGTGTACTTTCTTTCTTTCCCTTAGGATGCAGTTTTACATAATGAGAAAAAAGCACTTTTTTTAGATTATTTCTAATTAACTCAAAATAATTAGTTTACTTATAACATGCTTTTGTTTCGCCAAGCAAGTCACGCAGATTTGCAAATCTCAATTCTTCCATTTTCTTTCTCTCACTCTCTTACTTTTTTCTTCTTTGAAAAGCTTACAGCTGAAATCTTCAGACCCCCTTCAGATCTTGGTTTCCCATGCAGTACATGTGTTTTGAATAGTGTTTTACCTGTTAAAGCCAGATCTTTACGCAGTTGCAATTGTATGGATTTGCTTTTGCCTGTGGTTGAGGAAATGTTTATGTGAGTAGATATCCAAAAAAGCAGATCCACATAGCAGGTAGTTCAGTGGCTCTAAAGGTGGCCATACACTTTACAACCATCGCAAGACCCTAGTCTTTGTCTGCTCCAGTTTTGATAAATACCCCCTCAATAACTTTGACCATTATCTTATAAAATAGATGTGAGCTGCCATTGCTGAAGTGTGACAGCTGCTGGTTGTAAACTTCTTGAACTCAATTACTGCTCATATAAAAGCTGAAAAGCAAGTTCATAGGTAAGCAACTGTCAGACTTTAGGTGACCTTTTGGCATTCACAGCCTCAGTGTTGGTGGGCTTTTGTTCTCTTAAAGCGGGTTTTGTATTCCCATTCCCAGTCTATGCAAATACAAAACCTGCTTGAAGCAGGTCAAATTCAGGTCAGCTATAGTCAACTACAGGTCTAATGTACCTGCAGCATCGGAATTCATTGACTGTAACTGATGCCATCTACACAAATTGTGAGCCCTTCAACACAGGCCCAAAATTAAGCTGAAAATTGGGGAAAATACAAATTACACAATTATACCAATTTATTTTTGAGTTTTTGGATTCTGAAATAAACTTTGTTGAACTGCCCGGTTACGTTTTTTTTTTTTTGTTGAAGGCCTCATGCACACTATGCGGAAAAACATTGCGTTCAGGTGCATTTGGAGCTCATTTCTAAACCCACCTGGGCTCGTGTAATACTTTTCTATGACTAAATGCACACTTGGATATCCAGCTGCATCTAGGTGCAGTCAGTCTAGAAGCGTTTACCCAAACTAGAAATGTCTGCGTTCCAGGTCCTACCCAGATAGCAAGGATAACTTGCCACAAACTTGTGGCAGGGTTAAATTGTAATTCTTGTTAACTTGCTGCACACGTTCCTGGCAAGTTGTAGACTTGCAGAACACTTGCAGGACAAGTTCTAGTTGACACTTTTTGAATTTGTAGCAAATTTTCTTGGCAAGTCTACAGCAAAAGTCCTGCAGGTCTTAGCAAGAGCTCTGCAAGTGTACAGCACTTTTGCAAAGCACGTTGATCTGGAGACTTGCAATGCAGACTTGCTGTAATTGTGCAACAAAATTGTGAAGCTTGGCAAGTAATTTTCAAACTTGCAGCTCAATTGCTTGCTATCTGGGTATTAGCCTGGTTTTACACTTGTAAACTCTACTAAGCCCAGCGCAGGAAAAAGTGATCTGGGAAGCATGTTGATGACTACTCTTGTGCTTAAACACAGCTGACTAGCGTGCATTAGGCCTAAAGGTGCCCATACACCTGGCAATCACGTCCGATGATCGAACCATTGTACAATTTTCGTACGGTGGCCCCATCCTGCCCCGACCACCGCACTGTTCAGTTAGCGGTCTTTAGCAGAAATCACCTGGACGAATTTCGTTATTCGACCACACAGATTTTCGCATGATCAATGTTAATGGTACGAATTTTGACGTAAGGAAACGTCACCAACCTTGCAAAAATTGTACGATCGACTGAAGTTTTCTAGCATGCTGGAAAGACGAACGATTTTACAGCATTTGCGGTTGTAGACTCCCCATCAACCTTACGCATATCGGATGAATACGCAATGGCAAACAAAAATCGGCCGATATTCGTAAGGTGTATGGGCCCCTTTAGAGTAAGCAGGATTGTTCTGAACAAATATCACATCAGAATAAAACATTAGGCATACCAGCTTGCCTTTTAAAAATGTGAAGATTTAGATTTTTTTCAAAAACAAGCTCAATCTGAAATGAGCATTGTGGGAGCTTGATGCCAACCCCGCTGTGATAATTGCCGTTTGCCGCTGCTTTTATTTTCCGAGGTCCTGTGCTTTTCTCCCCATGCATGCCACCTTTCACTCACAGGCAATTTACAACAGACTCTGGCAGTTGGCAGAGAGGTAAGGAAGGCAAGCGGAAGCGGTTTGTGCTGATTGATGGCCAAGTTTGTGCTTTCCTTGCATGATAAAGTGTTCAGAAAGATTATTATACCCAGCAAGCTTCTGGAAGAACTGAATTTTGAAGACTGGGGATTTTGACAGCATACAAGACAAAAGTGTTCGCGTACTGCAGGCTGCCGAGTTTAAAATGTCTGTATATGACATATAAAGGGATTTTGAATTTCACTTAAAAAAAAAAAATTCCCTTTGGTAAAGGATCAAAGTGAAACTCCTCATTTTTCCAAACAAAAGAAAAAAAATCTCTAAAATA